ATATATTCCATACTTTCTTCATCCATTCTTCCATTGAAGGGCATCTAGGTTGTTTCCAGGTTCTGGCTACTACAAACATTGCTGCTATGAACATAGTTGAGCATATACTTTTGTTGTATGATAGGGCATTTCTTGGGTATATTCCCAAGAGTGGTATTGCTGGGTTCAGGGGTAGGTTGATCCCGAATTTCCTGAGAAACTGCCACACTGCTTTCCAAAGTGGTTGCACAAGTTTGCATTCCCACCAGCAATGGATGAGTGTACCCCCCCCACCACATATTTAATATACAATGTATTTTTATCACATTTACTCCCGGTTTTCCACCAAATTTCTTTCATATCCACTCTTTACCACCAACCCCCTCCCAACTTCATGCCCACTTCTTTTTGAAATAACCCACTCAGTCCAGTTTGTGACGAGGCTATCCTCTAGAGCATAGTTGACCAACCAGGGACCACATTTTTAAAGGAAGTCAATTCTCCTCCCCCCACCGCAGAAGCCATAGACTAATGTGGGATTCCCCCTCTGTATGCTGTGAATACCATTGGTTAATAAAGAAGGTGCTTTGGGCCTATTGCAGCACAAAATAGGGCAAGGCAGGAATTTCAAGTAGATAGAGGAGGAGAAAGAGGGAGGAATCAGAGGGATACCATGTAGTCACTGGAAGGAGAAAGAACTGATAAACCACGAGCCTGGTGGCAATACGTAAAATAATGGAAATGGGTTAATTTAAGATATAAGAATTAGCTAGCAATATGCTTAAGTGATTGGCCAAGCAGTGTTTTAACTAATATAGTTTCTGTGTGATTATTTTGGATCTGGGTGGCTGGGAACGGACGAGCAGCCTCTGCCAACAATATTGTTTATAGCTCCTCAGTTGGGGCGGGGCCTCATGAGTCCCTCCTTGTTCCATGCTGTAATGTTGACTGGTTTGCACTTGCACAGGTCTTGTGTAGGCAACCACAGCCACTGTGAACTCATGAGTACAGTGGTCCTGTCATGTCCAGAAGACATTGCTTCTTCTCATTATTTCCTACTTCTGGCTCTTGCAATCTTCCCATTCCTTCTTCTGTCATATTTGCTGAGTTTTGGGGGAGGATGGGTTGTGATATCATCATTTTATTTGTGGCTCAGCATGCCACAGATGGGTTATGTTTTACATGGGCCAGCTGTCAGGTTTTGTGTTAAACACCATCTGTACCTAGAAGCTTCTTTGATAATGTCTGAGAGCTGCACTAATGTTTGAGATCAGAGATACAAACGAGGAGGCAGTTTGATACTATGTGCACTTAGAAAAATAGTAGTGGGTCCACCCCTAGGGCTTATGAGCTCCTCACTGTAGTTTCTTGACCAGATTTACAGTACTAGGCATGTGTTGCTCATGTGTAGCAAGCCTTAATTTCAATCAGAATGTGATTGGTAGCATCTATAACATTCATGACACTATTACACCCATGAGTATATCTTGCCAGACCAGTCATTTTGTAACTCACAGTTGGACAAGACTGTTGATGACTTCTTTCCCCTAGTGGCCTTCACAGCACCTTCTGGTGCTATAAAAGATAGCCAATATTATTTGTGTATTTATAGAGCTTGAAGAAATACTTAATGCATGAAAATACATTAAATGATAATCTTACCAGAAATTCAAGTCTAAGTAGCTGGGGCACTATTCTGGACAGGAAACATTTAAATTTTTTTTTATAACATGAGCACAAAGACACACATACCTGAAGACTGTCAAACCTAAAACATGGAGCCTATGCATTCTATGTACCCCAGCTTTTATTCATTTGGTTTTTAAAGTATGTTTTCTTTTGTAAAGCTTTATTCACTAAAGAAATCTCCTCACCCTTTTCAGTATTCAGTGAACATTTTCTCTTCAATCTAGAGGCATGATATTTTCCTCCCCAGGATATTTTGTATTTCTTCAAATCCCTTCCACCTTGATGAGATCAGCCGCGTGGTTCTATTAGCAGCATCCTCCAAGCCTGGTAAATTTAGCTGTTACGGTCATGTAGATAGAAATGAGAATTCTTTTTGCATTGACCTTTACTCCTAGATAGATAGTGTTATCTAAGGATGCAGAAATTCAAGATTCTGGATTTTGTTATAAAACGAGATTCCTCTGCCTCTCCTTTAGTGAAGTTATCATTGGGGGAATCAGGGAGAACGGAGACTTTCGTGATCCTGACTTTTACCTCCCTTCAGGGAAAGCATCAAAATCAGGCTATTATAATCTGGGAAGAAATGTGTTGAAAGGCCATTGGGTAGAGTGTGGTTGTGGGATGGAGGAAGGTTGGATGTTTCAGCACAAGTAGAGAGAGGTCCAACAAGCAGGACCAGTGCTAGGACAGGACAGACCCTGGCCACAGAGCTGTGCTATGGACCCCATAAGCAATATGGCTACTGCTTCCCACAGTGGACACCACTGGCCATGTTTTCCCAGGACATGAGACATTTTAAGGGCCATTACCTGTCCTCAGAATAGATTCTATAGTTTCTCATTCTCTAGGTCTCTAGTTGCTGTTTCTAGGCATGTCCCAGTGTTCTGTTTTCAAGATAATTTGGAAAGGAGAACAAACATCCTATTTTCATTCCCTGGCTTCTAATAAGACCTTTAAACTGGGCAGGGAAATTTCCCCTTTATGAGAAAAGATTTCATATACTGAGTAACCTATAGAAAGATTCTGATGGCAGACACATTTTAAGCCACGGTTGATACTGATAGGAGAATTATCTTCTTGGTGTTTTAGGTCATGATAATAAAATGCTTTGTGCATTCAACAGAGCAACATGAGTAGGTGGAAGAGCATGGAAAACTCTACCACTGCTGTCATTTTCCGGAGTGTTGGAATGGAATGACATTGGCTAGGAGGCGAGTTACCACAAAGCTTAGCCCCAAAGCCCTGTATTCTTACACTAAGTCTGTGCTCTGCTCCTTACTAAATGAACAATGTGGAATCATGGTCAATCTCAAAGCCTCAGTTTACTCATTGGTGAAAAAGATATCACCTTAAAATCCACTTTTTGCTTAGGATGCTTATGAGAAAAATCTCCCCAAAGCTCCGAGGAGACTGCCTAGCATCTTCTAGGGCTAGGTCAGCCATTATGGTCAAGCTAGAGGAAGATAAGATCAGGGATTGGTCAGAAGGACCCAAACTCAAGGCCCTCTGATGTTCAGGATGTGCCAGGTATCCTTCTTCAAGGATAACCTGGAGAAAGGAGGTCATGATGAAATATGAAGTAGGTGACCTGAGGATTGGATGACCTCCATCAAACATCATGGGCAAATTCCCAAATGCTGCTGGTTACAGATGCCTGAGCAGAACAATCTGTTTTTAAAGTACAATTAAACAGACAAATGCTTGGAGATCTCAAGGGGGTAGAGCCACCCCAAGGCCTCATCTGCTCAGTTTAGGCACAGCAATTAGTGTAGGGGAAGTGCTCATTTCTGTTTTAGAGGTGATTTTAAAAACTGAATCTCTTTACAAAATCCAGAAGGGGTATTCTCAGACAGATTCTGTCAACAACTTGAGTTTGGGCTGGAGTCTTGGGAAAGTTATCAGTTCTTAGACACTTTTAAATTTGTGTTTTTATTTCTAGAATATATTAAATAGATGACAATTTCTGTTAAGTATTAACTGAACAAGCATCTATTTTAAAGCTATTTACTGGGGATGGTGGGGTATGAAAGATGCAGTCATATAAGAAGACATGATTTGCTAGGGCTTCAGGTATGGTATCCGTTTTATTATTACTTAAGATCCCAGTTAAATTGGAGAATAAAATATCCAAACAGAGAGCTTCTAAGAGACACTCTCTCATTTGTTCTCCACAGCTGAAGACCACATGGGTTTATGTAAGGTGTTATCTAAGAGCTTGCACGTCAACTCTAAAGCCGTTGCTTCAAGCTGGGTTGATTGCAAAAAGCGCCACTTAAGTGTTTTCATAGTGGGACTAGGGCTGGGATGTACACACACTGGTCACCCAGGGAGAGGTTGAAACCATCACTTAGCTCTTTAATGGAGGAGGAGGGTGCAATTAACGTTTTTTTTTGTTTTGTTTTTTGCATGTAACAGTGGAATATTTCAGGTGGTGGCAACGACCTAACCCTGCTTTCTATAACAACTAGAATAAAATTAAACTCAGGCCTGCAACTTTAAAATGGAAAATTCAAAATTCATCAGGTGGATTATTTTAGAAGTTTACCTTCTATGTATTTAATTATCCCCTATTTTTAATTACACCAGTTTATTGATTGATTGGTGTGTGTGTGTGTGTGTGTGTGTGTGTGTGTTTGTAGTGTAAGGTATGAGGAAAACTTTGGAGAGTTGGTTCTTTGCTCCCACCATGTGGGTCCCAGGAATCAAGCAAAGATCATCAGATTTGGTAAGAATCACCCTCAGTCACTTCACTTGCCCTTCCTTGCCCTTTCTTCTTCCTCCCTCCCTCCCTCCCTCCCTCCCTCCCTCCCTCCCTTATTTCCTTCTCACCTCCCTTCTTCCCTTCCCTCCTCCTCCCTTCCTCTCTCCCTTTCTCCCTCCCTTCTTCTCTTCATTTCTTCCCTCCCCTTCCCTCTCTCCTTCCTCTTTTCCCTTCCTCCCTCCCTCCTTTCCTTCCTTTTCTGGTTTTAAAATTGTGCATTCCAATAATTAAAGCAATTTGGATAGCAACAACAGCAAATGGCGCTGTTACTGAACTGCGTTTTACAGCCTAAAGGATGCCTTGGACAAGCATGAATTTTGCTCTGTATTTACCACCTCCCACGCAGCTTTTTCCTTCATCAACAGGTGAGTGTTTTTCCTTCCCTGTCAGCCAGACAGGAATGGGGGGGGGGGCTTTGTTGTGTGCCGTACTGATTCTTTGTCCTGAAAGGGTCAGCACAGTCCTTAAACTTGATCCAACTTCTATGTCTTACAAAGCTAAACAGCCGAAGGAAGGAAAACAAGCAGGCGCCGCGTGTGGACTGTAACAGTACACATTGGCGGCGCTCCCCTCATTGCGATTCACCAGCTGGCTTCACATGTCCAGTCGTTCCTTTTGAAGGCAGAGGATTTTTCTCCTGTGTTTCTGTCTTCTTCAATTTTGCCTTATCGAATTTCTCCATCTCAACCGTATTGCGTTTGTTTGTCACGCTTGTGGAAGGAACGGAGCAAGGTGTGTGAGTGAGAAGAGTCAGATCTGCTCAGGGACCGCTGTCCAGTCCCCTGGTAGTTCTTTAATGTACATCCCCCCTCTGCAAGCAGTGCATCAAGGCTTCCTAATTTACAGATGCAACTTGGTTAGTGCAGCAAAGCAGATAGGTTTTAGCTCCTAGCTAAACCTGAGATCGATTGGTGCTGACTGCCTGGAACAGTGATGAAAGGGCTTCTAAATAAAGACGCCTCTAGGTGCATCAGGATGAAGGGTAGTGATTGATAAATAATGTCTGCCACTGTTGGAAAGGGAGGAATAGTGAGCGTTCCAGGCTCAAACAACGCAAAAGACAGAGGATTAGGACCGGAGTCTAGCTTTGGTTTACCATAATATGTTATGTGACATTGGAAAAACTTTAGTGTTTGTCTTCTTAATGTTAATTTGGGGAGGAGGAAAGAAATAATCTTGTAACTAAAAACACCACAAGACTGTTACAAAGATTCAAAAGGGTTGAAAGCATAGAAAATTGGGCAGTGCAGTATAATGCGTTGTTATGTCATCATTTTCCAAGCAGAAGGCTAACTGGTTGCTTACAGACTTGTATAAACAAACCTCAAAGTTCACTGTAAAGATATTTATCCCTTCATTTTATAAGTGTAGGGGACATAGGACAAGGGGACTCTGGAGTTCTGGAATGGAAAAGGAGACTCACAGTGGGCTAGAGATAGAAGGACGTTGGTGTTACCTAGAGGAATAACAATTTCATTTGTTTCTGAACTTGAGACCCTCCATGTTTTCTTTGAGAGAAAATATCCTTTATTACACCTGATATAAAAATCCAGTAAACAGTTCTGGTCTGCTTGAGGCTGCTTATTTCTTAACACACTTCCCAGATTTGAGTGTTAAATGAGTGCCATCAAATCCATCTGAATTACAGATAATGCTGCTATGAGCATAGTTGAGCACATGTCCTTGTGGTATGATTGAGCATCCTTTGGGTTTATACCCAATAGTGGTATTTCTGGGTCTTGAGGTAGATTGATTCCTAATTTTCTGAGAAATCGCCATACTGATTTCCAGAGCACCTGTACCAGCTTGGACTCCCACCAGCAATGCAGGAGTGTTCCCCTTTCCCCATAACCTTTCCAGCATAAATTGTCATCAGTGTTTTTCATCCTGGCCTTTCTTACAGGTGTAAGATAGTCTCTCAGAATTGTTTTGATTTGCATTTTTCTGATGGCTAAGGATGTTGAACATTTCCTTAAGTGTCTTTTAGCCCTTTGGGATTCAACTATGTTCATAGCAGCATTATTTGTAATTCAGATGAATTTGATGGCACTCATTTAACACTCAAATCCTGGAAACAACCTAGATACCCCTCAACCAAAGAATGAATAAAGAAAATATGGTACATTTACACAATGGAGTACTACACAGCAGCAAAAAATGATATCTTGAAATTTGGGGGCAAATGGATGGATCTAGAAAAAAAGCATATTAAGTGAGGTAACCCAGACCCAGAAAGACAAACATAATATTTATTCACCCATAAAGGCTTTTAGACATAAAGCAAAGAAAAGTCAACCTACAGGCCACAACCCCAGAGAAACTAGACAACAAAGAGGAGCCTAAGAGAGACATACATGGATATACATAGGAAGGAGAAAAAGATGAGATCTCCTGAATAAATTGAGAGTGTGGGAGGTCACGGGAAAGGGTAGAAGGGGAGAAGGGAGGAAGGAATGAGAGTGGAGAAAAATGCATAGCTCAATAAAAAACTTAAAAAAAAACCTAAAAAAATAAATTCATCTGAATTACATCTCTTAGACATCACTGGGAAAAAATATTGAGATGTTTTTGGCCAATTAACTTCCTCAGCTTCCATAGCGATCTCTCAGACTTGGGCCTGCAGGGCTTGCTGCCAAATCTTCCTTATAGTGACTGAGAAGGGAGGAATTTACTTGACTGAGATGCTAGGGGTGTGTGTGTGTGTGTGTGTGTGTGTGTGTGTTGTAAGATTTACCTGTGAGAGAAAACTAAGTCAGAGTACTAACATAGGGGCATGACACATGAATAGGTGTAGTTCTAAAACCCTTCAGGGGAGGGGACATCTTTGCCTCACTGCTCCCATCACTTAGCGCCACACCCACCTGATGTTAGTTGCACACCTATTATGAACCAGGCACTGTATCTAGCTCATGGGGCATGATGCTAGGAAAACCGATGTTTTTCACAAAATGTGTATTTTTGGGGGGAGAGAAGAATGAACGAGCATAAAAATGATTTCATTCTGTAGATACTTGGAATGGAAGTGAATCATTTGCATATAAGGGACCAGAGAGTGGGGGCATTGGTCAGTAACACTTTGTGCTAGTTAAATGTGTCAATATAGGTCCATTATTGGCCACTGGTGGTTCCATACCACACATTGATGGTAGATAGCCACACCAATGTCATGAGCCAAATGATATGCACGAAGATCCCGTAGGGTGAAAGAGAAAATCATTGAGTGGGACTTTGGCTCAGAACATTGTGGATAGAGCCTTTTATTTGTTTGTTTATTATTCTATACCTAGAGCAATGTCATGAAAGAGACTGTCTATTCACGGTTAGGAATCACAGAGGAGCCGTGTGAGGGAATTTATGGTGACTTGAGAAGGGGCAATGAAGTAGCCAACTTAAAAAAAAATAAGTTACATAAATTTTGTTGACTAAAGGAAGACAAAGTATTGTTATGAACCTGAAAAATAAAGTAGAAAAAGCAGGGTCCAGGGCTGGGAAAAATTGGCTTCAGATGAGGAATAAAGATGGAGACTAGAAAGAGGAAGACTTGAGGAGTCCTTGAAGGGCAGAATTGAGAACTCAAGGATGGTCTTGTTTCTTCTGCAACTCTTTCCTCCTTCTTATAGGAATGAAAGTGAGAGCAGAACATCACAACATGAAATCTGAAAAACACCAATTCACAAAAAGAACCAACGATCTCTGATGGCTAATTTTAAGGTGTGAACTTGACTGGGCCGATCAAATATTATTTCTGGATGTGTTAGCCAAGGGTGTTTTCAGACGAGACCAGCATTTGAACTGGTGAATTCAGAGTAGACTACCCTTCCCAGCACCTACAGGGATCATTCATTCCACCAGGTGCTAAATACAAAGTTGAAGGAAGGATTGGCCCCTTCCTGCCTGAGTGCTTGACCAGGCGTTGATCTTGTCCTGTCCTTGTACTAGGGTTAGCGTCATTGGTGGTGTAGCCTTTAGACTTGGACTAAAATAATATCCCTGGGTTTCTATGGCAGATTACTGGATTTCTGAACTTCTATGAGTCAATTTTCCATGATAGCTCTCTCTCTCCATATATATACACAGACATACATTTACATATATACACATGTGTATGTATATGAGGAGAGAAACTGTATGTGTATATGTGTTTATATGTATATGTGTGTAAATGTATATATGTGTATATGTATGTATGTGTATAAATATATATATTCCCCCACTGATGATGAGGTTACATTAAAAACCTCTTTATTAAAAACATTGTAAATTGATGTATGTTTCTATACATGCCATCTGATTTGACTACTTTTCTCATCACCATGGAGAAACAGTTAACACAAGCAACTTAAGGGATGAAAGGTTTATTTTGACTCCTGCTTCAGGGGCTCCAGTGGTTAAGTGATGCGAGGAGAAGCTCCTGTCTGTGGCGGCAGGAGGCTGCTTGGTTGACATTTTATTAGATCAGAAGGCAGGGACAAGGGGATCCTGGTGCTTGATCGCTTTCCTTGTTTGCCTTGTTTATTCAGTTCTGGACCCCCGCCTGTGGGGTGCTGCCTTCCATATCCAGGACACATCTTTCCCCTTTAGTTAATTCTCTCTGGAAAAGTCTTCACCTTTCTGTCCAAATATGTGCTTCACTAACACCATAAATATTTCTTAATAACCGAGGTGACAGATTTCATCATCACATGATGGTGAGGTATATTTATTGCCTTTATTATTATTATTAATACTATTATTATTGCGTACATGTCTGTGTGTGTTTCCTCAGCTGTGAGCACCACAGCGTGTGTATGGTGTGTGTGGAGGTCAGAGGACAGTGTTTAGGAGTCAGTTCTCTTCTTCCACCATGGTTCCAGGGCCCAAAATCAACTTTCAGGCTTGGATGGGAAGCACTTATCTCCTGAGGCACCTCAACGGCTCCAGTGCAACCTCTGAGGAATGATTACATTGTAGGTTATGACCCTGTTTTAGTTAGGGCTCTATTGCTGTGAAGAGATGCCGTGACTGCAGCAACTCTTATAAAGAAAAATAGTTAATTGGGGTTCCTTGTTTGACATTTCAGAGGTTCAGGACATCATGGTAGGACTTGGTGGTGTGCAGGCAGACATGGTGATGGAGAAGGAGCTGAGAGCCTTATATCTTGCAGGCAACAGGAAGTGATCTGTGACACTGGGAGTAACTTGAGCATACGAGACCTCAAAGTCTGCCTCCACAGTGACACACTTCTTCCAACAAGGCCACACTTCTTAAAAGTGCCACTCCCTTTGGGGACCAATTTCTTAAAAACCATCTCAAGACCTCATGTCAATCTTGTAAATAATTGTGGGGGTTGCAAAAAAAAAATTAGCACCAGCAAAAGGTTTCTGAAGTATAACCACCAAAAGTTTATTTAAAAAATCAAATGTGTAATGAATCTGTGTTGTTTCTGGGAGCACTTGCCCATGTTGCATGAGGTGATGTCACTGCAGCCCCATTCTGAACATACAACATGCACACTTGGCATTGCACACCCATCACCATCATGGCACACAGTGCCAACAAATGCTGCTCAAAATACCTCAGTTAAGATTTGAGACTATTGCATGTTACAAATCGTCATGTTTTTACTCCACATATAATGCTTCCTGGTATAATCATGGAAACCAAATATTAAAAAAAAAAAGATTTTCCAGGCTGGAGAGATGACTCAGCAGTTGCGAGCCTGGGCTGCTCTTCCAGGGGACCCAGATTTAACTCCTGGCTAAATATTTGTTAATGGATATAGACCATTTTCAGCACTTTTCAGAGCTGTTGGAATCTTTAATGGACTTCTGATTTTCGGCCCATTCGCTCTCCTTTTTCCCTCTCTCCCTCTCTCAAATTATGTCATAGGATTTCTACGAGGGCCTTGTAAGTCAATGAACTTGTAAAGAAAGGCACAGAGAGAGTTGTCTACAGCCGTAAGCTGGCATGGATTGTTATGTGCGCTATGGAGTGGAAACATGATGGCAGAGGCATTCCTTTTCTTTGTTGCTTATTGCTGCTCTTCAGACACAAATACTTGTCAGCATCCAATCAATGCTGCCTTTTCTGAAGAAAGATGGATAGAGACACGCTTTCCTCTTTGCTCCTGTCAAGGCGAGGGGCTCCTATTGAGGCACTCATCCTAATTTACCTAATGGAGGGCCTTTGCCTTCTGCAAGCTTATTGTTTTGATGTGTGCTGAAGACTCCTCACGATTAAGGCATCCTCCCTGTTATTAAGATAAAGACTGACCTTGTCTTTCTTGAGGTGATTGGCTGATGGAAGATAATGTATATCTTTTTAACCACCCCTTCAGGTTAATTGGATGCTTTCTATCCAGGGACCTACACGTTCTGATTTAACATCAAAATCTCTTTGTAAAAGGCTCAATGCTGGCAAGATTAAATCTAGGAATAACCAGTGGACACAAGAGACTAGGGCATAGATTTCTTAAATTGACTCATTATAATGGAGAGACACAGGAGTGGGTTCGGCCTCTCAGAACAGAGATGTTCAGACAATGTAGAAGGATCTCTGAGAAGGCACAGGCCGGATTTATTTATCCCAAGGGCATGTGAGAAACATTCATATTAAGCTCACTATGAGAAGGGAAACTGGGAAGTCGGACACCAAAGGTTAGAGATGTGGGCTTAGTCTTGTTTTTAACAACTGTGAGGCTAACACTAATTGTCATCATGTTGGGACCTAGACTCAGCTAAGGGACAAACCTCTGGCCCTGGAAAGGGTTATCTATGTTAGGCGAGGAGGGAAGACCCATCTCCCAGGCACCATTTCGCAGTCTGAGGTCCTGAACAGAGTAAAGAGAAAGTAAGTTGATCACTAGTATTCATCTCTTTGCTTCCTGACTGAGAACAACGTGACCAGCTGCTTCAGGCTCTTGCCAACATGACTACCCCACCATGGTGAACTGTATTGGGAATCGAGATAAATTCTTCTCTTCCAGAGCTCTTCTCTGCTTTTGTCAGGGTATTTTATTGCAGTGCAGGAAAAGTGGCCAACACAACATAACTGATGTGGGAGTGTCATATATCAATCTGTTGATTTCATTGGTTAAGCAATAAAGAAACTGCTTGGCCCTCATAGGTTAAAACATAGGTGGGAGGAGTAGACAGAACAGAATGCTGGGAGAAAGAAGCTGAGTCAGAGAGTCGCCATGATTCTCCCACTCCAGGCAGATGCAGGTTAAGATCATTCCTGGTAAGCCAGCTCGTGGGGCTACACAGATTATTAGAAATGGGCTAGTCCAGGTGTGAGAGTTAGCCGAGAAAAGGCTAGATATAATGGGTCAAGCGGTGTTTAAAAGAATACAGTTTCCGTGTAATTATTTCGGGGCATAAGCTAGAGCTAGCCATGTGGGCGGCCGGGTGCCGGGGACGCAGCCCCGCTGCTCCTATTACAACAGAGTGGTGTCCGACGTGATGGACTAAATCCACTTAAAAAACCTGAGAAGGCTTAAAAATAAGGGAGAGAGAGTTTAATGCAGATTTTTGTTGTTTGTTGGTGGCATGCTGTAGAGAGATTTCCTGATTTGGCAACAGCAGCAGAAGAAAAAACGCTGCCTCATTTTAAAGCGGGGCTTCTTGGGGCTGTGCTGCCAGTGTGAACTCTGGCTTTAAAGCATTTCAATGGATTTTATGGGACTGGATGATTGTGTTCCCGCTTGGGATCAGAAGGAGGGTACTCTGAGACCGTGCTGATGGCTCAGGGCTCCCTGCCTACACCTGGGCAGACTGCAGAATCAGGCTTAGGCAGGCGGAAGAGCATGGCGGATTCCTGCCACCAGAGACGTGTTTTCAGACTGCATAGTGCTCTGCGTGTCAGATTTGGTTGCAACTTGGATAAAAAGAGTTTCTGTGCTGCACGCTCAGTCTCAGAATTAAACTGCTGAACGAGGCTCCAATGTGGACTTGCTGTGTGCCTGAAACCGTGCTCAGCTCAGGGGCACCAAATGGATCTGAGGCAGGAGCGGCTGCTCCATGCTGAACTGTGCTGGTCAGCAGGAACTACTGTAATTACTATAATAACAGAGCAGTTAAGGTTTCGACAGGGCAGGACACAGACGGTACCGTATTACCTATACATGGTGCAACTTAAGTTTTTAAGAACTGCTTAACATTTTAAGAAATGCTCCTGGATAGTAAAAAAAAATGTTACAGATTCACAATAAAACAGATTCAGACATAAAAGACCACACTGTTGGATGAATGTACGTAGGCTTGAGAGAGAGAAGAAAAAGAATATAGAGAATAAAATTAATGGTTTAAAAAAAAGGGTAAAGTCTTTAAAGAGACAGAGTACATATAGTTAAGAGATTAAAAGAAATAAAGAAAAATAAGCCACGTAAAAATGGAAAATTCACAGAGAGACTGGATTATGTACATTGTGTTTTCTTTAAAATTTTTGACTGTGAAGGAGCTAAGTACAGAGACACATTTCATTACATGGGCTGCCAAACTAAACCAGAATAGATATAAGGGTATTACGATTTCAAAATTTGGGTCTAAGGATATGATGCTTTGGAGAGGATCTTCTTTTGTTTTCACAGAGGACCAGACCCTGTGGATTGCATCTATCCCGATATGGTATGATAGATCACGACCTCCCGAAAAGTTTCTGTGAACACCCTCAAAAAATTACTTCACTCAACTGCCAACTGAGATAAACCTGGCACACAGGTTACACCCTAAATGATCTGATTAACAGCGCCCCCATTCAGCAGGAAGCAGTTTGGAGAGAAAAAACTGCGCCCATGTTCCCAAAATATTGTTTATAAATGTTCTTTTACATTTAAAGGGGGAAATGATATAGGTATGAATAATTTGCATTGGTATGGATTTTAAGGTCAATTTTGTTATGTGTGTATGTATTTCTTGATCTTGATTAAGGTATTGTGATTGTGTAGTTCATTTAAAAATGTACTGTATAATTAAGAAATATAGGTTGTTAATGGATAATCATCGATAATAGTAAAGCTTGTATTCATGTTAGTTAGATTTTCTAGATATATAGAGACATGTTTCAGTTAGATAGGCATTCTTCATATCTTTCAAAGACTGCAGAATATGGCATTTAAAATATTTTAATAACTTAGGGCTTTTCATGACAATGAGATATGTCTGCTCCTGGCAGCCCCAGCTACTTCAAGAGGAAGATGGGCATTGAAGAGGCTCGTTATGGAGTTTGATAGCCATTTGGGCAAGAAACTGCTCTTGCCTGGACTGATGCATAAACTGGACACAAAGAACCCGCAGAGAGAGGACTGCTGAACTTGCCTAAAAGTGAGATGGTCTTTCGGGGTTCCTGACTCATGAAAGAGTCTGCGAGACATTCTGCAGGACACAGCAGAAAGTGACTGAACTGTCTTTGGAATTTCCTGCTTGAAGAAAATGTCTGCTGGATACTATGGGCCTGAAGGCTGAAGATGGATGCCCCAACGGTACAAAAGAACTTTGGGTGACTGTCCAGGCAGCGAGATGTCTCTGTCATTTCTAGAGTTTTCTTATTTCTTGTTTACTTAGGTAGTATTATATCCTTCTGGAGTCTTTGATGGAGTTGAAGAATGAATAGATAGTTATAGTTTTCCTTAGTTATGATAAAAGATGAAATAGATATAAATATTGTAACTGTAATTCTTGCTTAATAACTGTTTTGCTATATGTAATTTTGCTATGTTAAAGTTAAAGCCTTCCTTTTCTTTGTTTAAACAGAAAAAGGGGAAGTGATGTGGGAGTGTCATATATCAATCTGTTGATTTCATTGGTTAAGCAATAAAGAAACTGATTGGCCCTGATAGGTTAAAACATAGGTGGGAGGAGTAGACAGAACAGAATGCTGGGAGAAAGAAGCTGAGTCAGAGAGTCGCCATGATTCTCCCACTCCAGGCAGATGCAGGTTAAGATCATTCCTGGTAAGCCAGCTTGTGGGCTACACAGATTAATAGAAATGGGTTAGATCGATATGTAAGAGCTAGCCAATAAGAAACTGAAACTAATGGGGCCAGGCAGTGTTTAAAAGAATACCGTTTCCGTGTAATTATTTCCGGGCATAAGCTAGCCATGTGGGCGGCCGGGTGCCGGGGACGCAGCCTCACCGCTCATATTACAACACATAACGGTTAGAACAGAGACCACGGCAGCACAGCAATAGCAATCAGTGAGTGTCGATTGCTCACTCGGTGCCAGTGCAGAGCTCACGCCTCATGCCACGGTTAGGTGCTTATTTCTCTTCTTGGCCACTCACATGCTATCCGACCCTGGGCTGGTCCCTTAGTTCTCTCTTCTGTGAGGTTTTATTGAGAGATCCCCTCCAGCTCTGTCATGTGTGTGCATGTGTGCATGCGTGCGGTGCACACGCGCACTTGTGGGTGTGTGCATGTAAGCCTCATTTCCATTTCCTCCTACTACAAAACCACAGACCTAAAGCTTCATGTGTCAAACTTTGGTTTCCAAAGGAAAAGACTCATTATGGGATGTCAAATAATCAGGAGTGGAAGAGGAAGAGGACAGGTTGGATCTGATCTCTTAGACCCATTCTGGCTGGGGCTTTTTCATCTCATACTGTGGTCTTCTCAAAGTAGTTGGTAGCAAAAGGCTTGAGGAGTTCTCTAGAAGGCAGCTATGTTCACTACTGTACCACTAACACATGCTAAAAGGGTTTTTTGTTTGTTTCTCTGTTTTGAGACAGGATCTCACTATGTAGCCCTGGCTGGTCTGGAACTTGCCATGTAGATCAAATCAGGCTGGTGTCACTCAGAGATCTGCCTGCCTCTGTCTTCTGAGTACTGGGACTAAAGGCGTGTGCCAGCCACAGTGCCCAGGAGTTCTCTCCATATATACACACAGATGAAGAATCAGGGGTGCTTCTCATTGCTAGAAGAGTTCCTGGTTGTGGCTTTTGACTCCTTCAGGTGGAGTCTGAGCCATGGCAGGAATTCAGCTAGGACTCTGCTCTATCTATTGGTAGGGTGGAGTGGGTGTGGGGAGATGATTTTGCTACTGACATTGTTCAGAGCTGCCAGTGACTGGTGATGATAAGATCAGACTGACTTTTCTTGCTTTATAATTTTTTTAGGAAGGGAAAAATATGATCAAACTATATTGTGGGAAAAATTTAAATAAAAAAGAACATTTTAAGTAGATTTATTTTTAAGTGTATGAGAGCTTTGCCTGCATGGATGTATATGCGCAACATGTGTGCCTGGGTGCCCACAGAAGTCAGAAAAGGGTCTCAGATATCCTAGAACTGGAATTACAGATGGTTTTGAGCTGGGAACAGAACTCTGGTCCTCTGTAATAACAGGCACTTTTAACTTCTATCTCTTCCAGGCTCGTTTAAAGTCTTTAAAGGCACCACACCTCTCTAGTGTCTGAATACAGCTCTCTGCTGCTATCGACTGCCTCTGAACACAGGACCTGAGTCCTAGGGGTTGGGAATTGGGCCACAGAAGAATGGTTTAAGAAAGTCAGGAACTGAAAATAAATAGAATCAGGGGTTCTGGAGAGATGGCTCAGTGGGTGAGAGAATATATTGCTTGCAAAAGACTAGAGCTTGGTTCCCAGCACTCATATCAAGAAGCTCGTGGTCTTATGTAACTCCAGTTCCAGGGCACCCAACCCACTCTTCTGGAGTCCATGGATATGCATGTTTATATATTGTATATAGCCATGCATATATACAAACCGACACATAGCCAAACATGAGTTCATACAATTGAATAAAAAAGAAAATCAGGGATGAAGCAGGTTGCTTTAAGAGTGAGTCCAAGGTCTTCCTGCCTCTCCTTAACTGAGAGTTCGGGCAAGGAAATTCACTCCCCTTTTTTCCCCCAAAGGTTTATTTGTGTATGTGTTATGCGTTTTGTCTGACTGTTTGCATGTGTATGACACACATGCCTGGTGCCCACGGAGGTCAGAAGAGGGCATCAGAACTCATGACACTGGAGTTATGGATGATTGTGGGCTACCATGAGGGTGCTGGGGACCAAACCTGGTTCCTCTGGAAGAACAACACATGGTTTTAACTGTTGAGCTATCTCCAGCCTGAATTCAGTTTTAACCTTAGACAAATTGTTACACACTTAGGTAGTCATAGGACCTGTACTTTTTGTATGTTACATTGTCTGATTTTATCTTCATAACCTATCCTCAAAGACATGGGTATTCCTAATTTATAGATGAGGATTACAAACTCAGATGTGAAGAAATCGGTACAGTATATCTTAGGTTGCTATGGCTCCCTAAAACTACACAGACGTGGTCAGCATCTCAAACGCTCTTCTAAGATGGGTAACTCACCCTTGTCTACATTTATTTGGATTCGTATATATGAATAAAGGGTGATGCTTTGCTCAGACAGCTGGAATAGGCTTTAGCATCATGACCATAAAAGTACCTACCGACTATCATGGTGTGTTACTGAGGAGATCAGTGGAAAGAATGGGATGAAAACCAGATATGGTACCTCTAGGATGAAGAACCGAGGTCTTACATGGGGCCTGCTTTGCACTCTTGCAGGAGCTTCTAGGTGCTCAGTGTGGTACATAGAAGCTGTTCTGTTCTGCTTTCTGGGCTCTGCCCGGTGTTCTCTCCTAGCACACCTAGACAGTTGCCCAGTTGATCATTCCCAGTTCTTCTCTCTCCTTGGAAGCTCATTTTGTCCCAAGGGTCAGGGTACATAAATAGGTATGCTCTGTCTATCAAATGAAGATTCCTGAGAAATCTGATTCTCCATCTTAAAAGTGCTCCCTATGTTGCATTTGTATGTATGCACAGAAGTATGTGTGTGTGTGTGTGTGTGTGTGTGTGTGTGTGTGTGTGTGTAATATGTATTTGAACACTTGATCTCCAGTTGGTGCTGTTAAGGAAGGTCATAGAACATTAGGAGGTGGAACCAGGCTGTAGGAAGTATGTCACTGGGGGTAGACTTTTAAGATTTTTAGTCTGCCCTTTTCTTTCTATTTTCTCTCTCTGTTTCTTGTGTGTGGATAGAAATGTCACCAGCCAGCATCCTGCTTCTGTGGCCATGCCCTGCCTTGCCCAGGATGATGAGATGAACTCGATCCCCCTGGAACCACAAGCCAAAGTCAACCCTTTCTTCCTTACATTGCATCTGTCGGGATGTTATATCGCAACAGAGCGGTAACACATCTGGTCTGTCTAAACCTTCCCTAAGCACACCGTGTTCCCGAGAAACTACTTGGAAAGTTCCCAAGGCAGAAGGCAATCAAACTCAGGCGATAGCCTCCAGGGAGTGAATAGGAAGTTCGAAGCTTGCTTTCCTTGGCAGTGATTTCTCCCATGTCTCTGAGAAAAGTGTCTAGGAGGCAGCCGCTTTTGGGAGGAGCCCAGAGCTACATTTCCTAAGTGGTCTCAGAAGGGGCCTAGGCACTCAGCCAAGTAGCTGGTGGTTGTCACTGAAGGCCAAACATTTGGTTATGAGTTCAGCTCCCATTTGGAATTCATTTCCCAGACCTCAAAGGGTGAGACGTCGCTGTTGTTATTTACTGATTTTTCTTTATTCTTAGCTGTGTTTGTTTTCTGGCCAGGAGCCAAGGTATTCTGTGCAGGCTATAGCAGCCCTTAGGTATTTGTAAGACGAGGAAAATGCTAGGCATGGTGTGTGAAGGTGAGGTACAGAAATTGGTCAAGAGGGAATTTAGTGAGCTCTGTCATGGTTTCCTTTTTCTCTCTCTGTAGTAACAGAGAAAGTCAGAAGTAATGTAATCCATAAATGTCCCTTCTTCCCTCTCCTCTTCCATCTCTTCCCCTTCTACTTCTTTCTATCCAACATCCACCCATCTGTCCACCCACCCACTCACCCACCCACCCATCATCCACACATCTCATATTTATTATTACATATAGGAAAACAAAACTGGGCATCTCTGGTGAGCAAGGGTACCAAGGTGGATGTTTAGTCCCTGGATTATGGAAATATGTAACTGAGGGGAGAAGACAGACATAAACACAGCAGCCCAGTCATTATTACCACACAAGTTTGTGTACTTAGTCCAAACAACAAGGTAAAGAGTGCTGTTACCTCTGACCGGCATGGGGTTGAGGGTCAGGAGAAAGTCTCAGAGCAATGTTTCCAGATGGATCCTGAAGGGTCAGGCATCATAGAGGGTGGGATGAGATCCAAGGTCACATGATGGGTGTCATGGACATGGACAGAAAAGAACGAATTAAAGATGTACTATGAAATAAGTGGCTGTGAAAGACACATAAGAGTGAATGATTTTGCAGCTTCTAGAAGCTTCTGTGACTGCCATTTGCCAGGTTGTCAGTGCCCAGTGTGGGTGGCAGTGAAGTGGGCAGGTAGCTGTCATGTCCAAGTATGTCATCTTTGCCTTTGTCACCAATATTAGCAAAAATGACCACTTCTCCGCTTACTTTGGACCAATTCTAATACTGAGTGATTTGAGCGCCTGACCTCAGCATGCCTCTACTGCACAGGTGCTGTGAGAGAACGTTCTAGGCGATGTCCAGGCTCTGAATAGCGCTAAATCACAGTTACCTTTTAAATTTCTTATTATTATTACTTCAAGACGAAAGTTTTAGTTGGAAGCCTGGGTATTTTTAAAGCTCTCCCCACCCCCTCTTTTTTTAAATCCTTGTTGGTTTCCATGTTAAGACAGAGAAGGCAGTCCCAGGCTCAGAACCCGCAATAGCAAAGGGTTCTCTACTAGATTTAAACAATAATCTGTTTCAGCGACTCAGACAAAAATTTCGGATGCTTCTCCTTGCTGTTGTTAGTTCGGTTACTATCATCAATCTGCAGCTCTCATTTGCGGCAGCAATACAACGCTTTCTGCAAAGTACAGGAATTTAAGTGAAAGCGTGGATTGATTTAAAGAAAAATATTATCTAATTAATAGCTCTGATTTTATATGCAGATTTGGCATGTCTCAGGAAGGAGTCTGCCAATGAGCTGTGTGAGTTGAAAATACCCTTTTAATTTAGAGTATACAATTTAAGAAATTAAAAGGGTTGGGAATGAGGGAATGTAGAGCGGTTGGTAGAGGTCCTGCCTAGCATGGGCAAGGCCCTGGGTTTGACCCCAGCAATGCATAAAACTGGACGTGATAGCCCACACCTGTAATACAAGCTCCTGGGAGTGGAGTAAGAAGGATCAGAAGTTCAAGGTTAGTTTTCATTACTTACTGAGTGTGAGGCCAGACTGAGCTACATGGGACCTTCTCTCAAAAACCCAGTCTAAACTGAGACAGGGTTTCTCTGTAGCTTTGGAGCCTGTCTTGGAACTAACTCTTGTAGACCAGGCTGTCCTCGAACTCACAGAAATCTGTCCTCCTCTACCCCCGAGTGCTGGGATTAAAGGCCTAGCTCTATGCTTTTAACCTCAAGGACATACATTGTTGTAGACCAGGTGCCTGAGAGTTGGTGGAGGTGAGATTCTCGATTTCCGAGGGAGCCGCAATGGTCTAGTAAAGCCATCCAGGATGGTATTACACACTTCAGTACTGGTCCTCCTTTCTGTCTGTTCAGAACTAATCCTCTTCTAAAACACATGCCACAAATCCTCTGTGACAAGCTATGAGCATCTTCAGGGATTCATATGTGTCAGTAGTTTCTAGATTCTAAACGCCCAGTCTAGGATAACCCTTGCTTACTGAGACAAAGAGCGGGGCAGTGGTATGGACATAGACGAGTGGCAGGGTCAGAAGTTGAGTCCCCCAAAGGCAGAGGTTCCCTTTCTGCCCCACTGGTTGAGGGATCCCACTACCACTGTAAGGACTTTCGTGAACCAACGTGGCTTCTTTCTTGTTGCACGCCCCTCTGCACCCCAGCTGTCTGTCATTCGGTGTCCCAGCCTTTGTAACTCTTACTTGAATCTCATCTCCATTGTCTTTTGTTCCCTCCCCCCCCCCTTCAGAAAGTGGTTGTGAGGTAATTGCTGTGACTCTGTCCCTAGAATAATGCCGTGAATTTCTCTCCATATCCGACAGCTGTCTTTCACTGGGCTAGCTACCCACAGCCACCAGTTTATAAAGAAGAAAGGTGGATTTTGGTTCATAGTTGTGGGAGGTAGGAGTCGATAATTGGTCGACCCTATGAGGAGGTGGCCTGTCATGGCAGGGCTGTGTGGCAGAGCAATACCATTCTGCTCAGGGATGGGAAGAAGAGAGACAAAGAGAAAGGACCTGGGTCCTACAATTCCCTTTGAGCATATGTCCCCAGTGGTCTGCAGAGCTCCTAACAGGCCACCCCCAGGCGGCCAGCTTGGGGGACACTAAGGATCTACTGATAGCACTCTCTAGGTCTGTCACTCCCCAGTGTGCGCCAGTCATCCCTCTGTGGCTCTGATTTCCTTTGCAGGAAATCATTGAAATTTCCCCGGTGCTGACCTACCGTCCTTGAGCTCATCGTGAAGTTCTTGCATTTTAGCCTTCACGCAGACTGTTCCTTCTTATTTCTTAAAAAGAAAAAAAAAACAACCTCAATCATTCCTTTGATGCTGTCACAAGTCACAAGGCTCTTTGTTTATTTAATATACCCTTCCCAGAGCCCCACAAGGAAGGGATTGCGATCCTCACTCACCGGGTAAAGACCGTGGAACCCAGAGACCGAGTAACCCACTCAAGGTCAGGCAGCTGGCAAACCACACAGCCAGGGGCTGAAGCCGCAGAGCGTGACTCAGAGCACTCACCTCAGCCGCCTTCCGTGCCTTGCGACCTTGTGTTCGCATGGCTGATTTTCGTGCAGCGTTTTTTGTTAGGTCTTAACTTTAATACTGATTTCTTTTAGTAGTCTTGCCCAGCGCCTCTAGGCTGAGTTAGGATTCTCTTTGTAGCACATTCCTACAGTATCCCCTGCTTCTTCCACTTAGATGCAGTTTCCTCCTTGCGTGTAACGTCTCCTGCAGGGTGAGCGATGTGATGCTCTTTCTCCAGCAATAACCTTGACGTCGGCACGCTGTTCACAAAGAATGCACTGCGTGACTGTCGAGGGGAGGCAGCAGTCTCCCCCCTCCCCCATCTGAAATGCCTTTCCTTCCCTACTCTGCTTCCTCGTCCTTGACTTTATCTCGCCTCTCTAGTGCAGTCTCTCCTAAGGATGGCAACGTTTCCAAACACTTGTGCCGCTAGGGTAAATAGCTGAAGTCATCAGCTGTGAAGAGAATTGATTGATTTTGGCTCACAGCTTGAAGGGCTCAGTGTACTTTTGAGTCTGGGACCTGAGGCCAGGCTGCACACCATGACATGGCTGAGCAAAAGTGGACAGTTTGCTGAGTTACAGAATGCTAAGCTTATTTTTGAACTAAGGTAGGCCATTTCCCATGGACTGCTCACCCGGTTCTAAGCAGTCTTTGGATCTGGGGTTGCTTTAACTTCGCAGGATATTTGAAACCGCCAAGGCAGTTGAAAGAAAGCCGGTCACCCATGAGAATAATCTGTTGTCTTTGGGTGCAAGGTCTGTTCTAGATTGAGGCTTCTGAACTTTGACTCCTGTTTTCTTCTGGAAAGTCACACGGCTCTGCTGATTTGAAGGTTTACACATTTCAGCTACCAAAACTAAATCTCAGGACTGCAAATCTTCTGGTTCAGAAAGTACAGTGTCCACAACCCAAGCACCTGGAACATTTCCTACATAGGTCGGAGAAAAAGAGACAAGATCGCCTGAGTAAATTGAGAGCATGGGAATCACAGGATGTTGTGCCCAAGTCGCGACCCCCCAGAGAGACCACCAGGATCCAGTCAAGTCCAGAATGCAAAGGCAAGGTTTATTCAGAGCTCTCTGCAGTCAGGCTGGGGTCTCGTCCCCTACTCATCGCAGTGCAGTAGGGAGCAGAGCCCCCTTATCTTTTGGGGTTGACATTATACAGGTAAAAACCGCAATCCAGGTTCATTTTGGGTCAAAGGAGTTAGTCTTACATAACAGCAGGTGCCTTATCTCTAACAAGCCCCCTCCCCAAAGTGGTTATATCTAGCAGGCCTCCCCTTCCCAAAGCCCTCCCCGAAGCGGTCGACTTTTCTGCTCCCTGATAGACCACAGAGCTAGGTGTTAACAGGTGGCCTGCTGTCAGGATGCCAGGGGCACCTTGTGGTAAGCTCAGCGCCCTAGGTAGATGTCCTGTTTTCAACCAGCCCCAGATGTCTTGCATTTAAACACAGTGCCCTAATTAGCTACTAAGCAAGCAAAAAGTTCCTTAAAATTTTCATGTCCTTATAAGGAGAGGGTAAAACGGGAGAGGGGAGGAAGAGAGGAGAGCAGACAAAAATGTATAGCTCAATAGAAACAATAAAAACATAAAACCACTTGAAGCTTCAACACAAGCTCACCATCCCTGTGAACCTGGTCCAAACACAGCTGCAAGTTTGGGCATTACTTTTGTTTATTCTGACCTCGTCTTCACCCTTACAGACTCTTTTGTTCCTGGCTTCTCGTACAACCTTTATTTCCTTCTAGAAGTTCTTGGCTTCAGTTTCACAATCAAGCATTTAGGATACCACAGTGAGCTCAAAGGAAATGGGAGGGAGATGTTTAATGGTGAGCTCTAGGTTTTGGTTCTGGTTCTGAGGACAACAGACTAATCTTATATTAATTTTTTTTTTTTTGGTCTGAACTGAAGGTACAGGATGATCATGAGGGCTGTGCTTGTGCCAGATGGCTTCTTGGGACCAATCAAAGGTGGCCAGAGAGTGGGGTCGGGTCGGTGGAAGCTAATCAGCTACACTTAGCTTGGCAGAGAACAGATTTCCTGCGGGAAAGATGGAGGCAGGTGAGCTGCAGAGGCTCAAGATTAAACTAAGTAATGAACAATTAGGGACGTGGGATATTTAAAGAAATAAAGATTTAGGAGAAACCAAAAGCTTCCTTAATTGTTTGAAAAGGGTTCACCCATGGACACAGAAGCCTCCCCCATCTCCCTGTTTATCTCTAGGGAATAGAATAAGATCTCGCTAAGCTGAGTTGTCAGGTATGTTACCAAAAGCAAAGCAAACCCCAATAGTAATTGAGCAAAAACAGGCTGCTTCTTGAAGTTGAGTTTCCTTCATGGAAAGTGAACTGAACTTGAACGAGGGCTTTGGTGGGATCTTTCTGTCTTTGGAAAGATGTGGATCAGATGACATTGGAAATAGTGTTTTCAATGTTTACAGTTTCAAAAGCTTAGTTTTGAGGTTCTTCTTAAATCAAACTCAAAAGCATTGAGGCAGACACACGTGCACCTCTGAGTTTGACACCTGGCTTGTGGTATTACACATTGAGGGATATTTCCGGATTTGTGCCTCCCAATTTGAACGCAATACCATCAGAGGCTACTTAGCCATCTGCCTGCGACTTCCTTCCCTCTCCTGGAGTGCTCACTGCTTTCAGCTAGGGCTGGGTAGCCCTGGGCTCTTTTCATTTCTAAGCAGTTATAGTACAGGAAGCTAGCTCAAGGCAGATGACAAGGCCTTGTTCTCAGTGAGTACACAAGAAAAGCCTGACCGCCTGGAAAGACTCTACCAGCGATTCTGAATCACCAAACTTATTGCTAACTAACATTGTAATTAGAGCCAGGCCACAGAAGCCAAGATTTGGGGGGCCATCTGGTCTGCTGTTTGCAGAAAGGGAGAAAACAGTCCAACCTTGGAGAATGGAGTTGCTGGGGGTTCAAGAAAATGACCTTGCACTTTTCTGTTCCCATCTCCACCGTGATGGATGGCCAATGCTGAGTTGAAAAAAACACAGATGTTGTTCAAGACTTTGACGGAGTCAGTTGCCTCCATTCTTTGGCTTGGGTTCAGCATGTTCAACAAAAGATACTATGCTAGCCTCTGTAGCTGTGCAGGTCAAAGAGACTCGTATCTAACTGAAGGGTAGAACACAGATATCTGAGGAGTTGAAATGACAAGTCCAAAGAGGTCAAAACAGAGGCACCCTGCTGATGCATTCCTGAAAATCCTGGGGATATTTGTGGCCTGCAGTGATGCAAGCACATTCTTTGCTGAGATGCTAGTCCAGCCTTGCCGATTTATATGGGTCAAAGTACATTCAAGATAATTCTATCAATTATGTGCAAGGCGACCTGCTGAAAAGTCAAGACCTTGGAGGGCCAGGAACCCATCAGTTCCAGGAGAGCAGTCTCTTTCCTAGTGGGCGGGGAACCAAGAACTTCTGATTCTCTCCTGTGTCTTCCACTCCAGGATCCAGTACTCTTTCTGGGAACTTGGAAAACAGCCTGTTATAGGTAGTTTTGTTGCTGTCTTTGACCCTGAGTTACAAACCTTCATTGCTTAGAACAATTAACTAAAATGTGCCTCTCTTATTGAGCCAGGAACTTGCCTCTCTCTAATACCTGTAGGGCTTACCCTTGACCTTGAGAGCCACAAGGAAGAAATCTCACTCCTTTTATGTATTTTGTTCATTCTGATATTAGAGATCAGTTACTTTCCTTCTTTTGGATTTGTCTTATTTGTTAACCATCTTCTATATCTGTCTGTTTGCCCCAGTATTGTCATTTTGGGTCTCCTCCTCCTTTTCTTCTTCTCTCTTTTAAAAAGTTTTATATGGGGGCTGGAGAGATGGCTTAGTGGTTAAGAGCATTACTTGTTCTTCCAAAGGTCCTGAGTTTAATTCCCAGTAACCACATGGTGGCTCACAACCATTTGTAATGAGCTCTGGTGCCCTCTTCTGGCCTGTAGGCATACACACAGACAGAACATTGTATATATAATAAATAAATATTAAAAAGTTTTATGTGTATGATTGTTTTGCCAGCATGTAGCAGTGTACCAATACATGCTTGGTGCCTGGAGAGACCAGAAGAGGGAGTCAGATGCTTTGAAACTGGAGTTACAGATGGTTGTATGTAGTCTGTTATATCAGTATAGAGAATTGAACCCAGGGCCCTTGGAAGAGCAATCAGTGTTCTAAACTGCTGAGCTGTCTCTCCATCCCTGCTTACCCTCCTCTTAAAGCACCTCTATATAATGATTTTGTTCAGTTTTACATCTTGTGACAGGATAATTGGGGGTTATGAATCTTCTTTGGGACATTGACTATAGAGTCATAAAAGAAGCATCTGTATCAAAGAGTGCCCTGAAGAAGTAGAACCCTGTTTCCTGTATCCGTCTCTTTTCACCTCTAGTCTGTTTGCTGTGGGAACAGTCCACATGTGCAAATAGCACACATTTCCTTCAGCTGTCAAAGTATGAAGACTCACCAAGTATTTACTTTCTTGGTAACCTCCACTGTTTTATTACTTTTTGGAGGCAAGGAGGCATTGATTCAGCACCTGAGTCATTTCTTCCTTTGCTCACTCATTGATTATGTTAGATTTAGGATGCAGATGCAGCTCGAAGCACAGTCTGTCATCCAGATTACAGGCTTATTAGAGAAAGGCTCCTAAGTTAGTGGTTTGTACTTTGGTGGTATTGATGAGAAGAAATGAGCATAGTTGAGCTGTAAAGTAAGGGGTGATAAGTTGGCCAGACCAAGGTGTTATGGTTTAAGTAAAAATGCTGTAGATTCTGACGTCGCTGCAGTGGGCAGTGGGCCATGAGACCACACCGCAGATCCCCGAAGTGGCAGCAGGCATAGGTCCTGAGACCACGGAGAGCTACAAAGGTAGCTGGGTCCCAGGCAGGGAGCCCCTGAGTGGCCTGTGGGCCATGATGGGCAACAGGTCCTAGGCACAGAGCCAGATAGTGGGTGAGAGACCTCGATGGGGCAGCCAGTCCCACGAGGAGAGATAGATGGGTG